AAAATTGTTTTCTTATTTTTGAAAGTAAAAATCTGAGAAATGAATTTTTCCCTATATAGATTTAGGGTAATCAACATAAATGGGCCAACTAAAAGCAAATGGGCCAAGATATATTAAAAGGACCATCTAAGGAGTAAATAGTTGTTTTCGAGTCGAACCATTTCATTGAGATGTAGATAATTAATTCAGTCGTTTGGTCAATTGCGATTGAAAACTTCCACCAAGTAATATCATCGTCCGAAATTTATTGGATATCAAAACCCAACAAATAACATTTGGATGTAGCAATGCTCGTCTCTTGTTTTTAAATAAGTCTTTGTTATGTCAAGATAACCAACAATGGAAAAGAAAGAACCAATGTATCCATAGATTCAAAATTTTTTAATCACGTATTCATCTACTTTTATCAAAAATTGTTATCAAATCAAAAATTTTGAAAAATCACATATTTCATCAACTTTTATCAAATTCTTTTAAAAACCTGATTTTAATTCCTAGAAGTTAAATAATCAATATCAATATAATTAAATGTATTACTATTTTTTAATTGTGTTTATTAAAAGTGCCACAGAGACTGAAATTGTTGTATTCTTGAAAAAAATAGTGCTAACATACCAAGTTTTATTCTCTTTATCTTTATTTTATATAATACAAAATCTGTGATTTAACTTTAGTAATCTTCTTTAAACATTTTAAAATGCAATAGTTGAGGCATAAATAATCTTGAATAATAAATAGGAGATAAGATCAATTGCCACGCCTTTCACTCACACGCTTGAGTGAGACTAAGAGCTTGTTTGGGAGAAATTAAAATCAGATTAAAATTGAAAATATCGCCATTGGAGTTGACTTTTATTAGACAAGTGGAACTCAATAACGGCTATATTTTCAATTTTAAGTGAATTTTAATCATTCCCAAACAAGCTATAACTCTTTTTGTTTATAAGAAGATAAAGAATAGTGATATTCATCGTCAGCTACTACAGTAATTATCGTATAAATTATCATTAAGGTAACTTATCTGACATAGCATTGATAAAAAAAATTCCTTTTATAAATTATTGTAGTACGTACTAATTATTACAGCATAAAAGCATAGATAATAAATATATTTGTGTAGCATAACATCCTACAACAAATACCAATCCTATTACGCAACTATAAAAATAAAAAACATATCCAGCAACTAATAAAACAAGCTACCAAACAAAGCATAAACATTAATAATTATACACAAATTATATTTTTCTAGTGACTATGGTGATGGCCAGGTAGTTTCTCCTTGATCTTCTCCATCACACCCTTCTTCTCGTGTTCCGGCGCAGTAGTTGCACTGCCGACCGGGGTTGTGGTGGCGCTGTGTGCGGCTTCTTCCTTGTCTCTGTGCTTCCCAACTGGTAATTTCTCCTTTATTCTCGCTTTCAATCCCTTCTTCCTCCTCCCACCTTGCCCGTCGTCCTCCGACTACATTTTATACAACCAGATAATCAAACACTAGAAGGCAAAATTTACACTTTATGACTTCAAATACATGAAGAAGCCTGAGAATTGTAATTACCCCTTCCCAGGTTTCAATTGTTTTAATCAAATTCAACTCGAAGATGATACGTTTAGTACACTGTATTTAAAATGATCAAATTTCAAGATCTGAAACCTTGAATATTCAAATTAAACTCACCGAGCTAGAGCTAGAGCTAGAGCTAGAACTGCTGGAGCGGTGAAGTTGCTCTTGCTCCTCCTGCTGCTGGTGGTGGTGCTGCTTATCATATTTTTTGCCACCGATACAGACCCCAGTACCACCATGGAGAATATCGGTGGCAGATCCAGCATGCACAGCCCCAGTTCCACCGCCGGCATTGGTGACGACACCAGTAAGATGGATAGGATTGCCATACTCGTCAGTTAGTTGAACAGGTTTCCCACGTTCATCTGTAAGCTGAATTGGATTACCATGTTCATCACGTATATCTGCCATTTTTGAGGACAAATTAAACAGAGTTTGAATAGATGAATATACAAGTGAAGATTACTGATCGGGGCTCTTAAATAAGGAAAAGCAAAGACGGTGGAGCAGCAGCAGCTTTTTCTGCATGTAATTAGGTTCTTACACGTACTGTAGAAGGTGGCAGAATATACTGCCACGTAAGAATAGTGGACACGGACATGGTTTTGTTTTCACCAATTTTAAGGATTGGAACGAGGCCAACGGCATGTTTGGCTTACTTAAGTTGAGGTCCATAAGAAGTGACATCGCTCGGTGATGTTTGGCTAAGGTTTGTAAAATGTTTAATCCCCCATATTAAAATTTCAATCTTGCTATATGTACATCATAGATGTCATTAAGTTTGATATTCTTTCATGTGTTAGCAATTTACACCACTGATTTTAAACACATTAATTTCATCACCAGTCGATTTCTTTCACTGGGGAGATGTCAAATTTGTTGTCAACCAAGAATATACACCTAGCTTTATTCTTAAAATTTAGATTTTAATCTAAATTAAAATCAACAATTAATTTTAATTATATATTTCATATGATCTACAATTTTTCAACTACATATTTCATCAATTTTTATCAAAATATACTAAAAATTTGATTTTAATTTTAACCAAATAAGAGCTAAAATTGATCAAATCAATTAATTCATGTTTACATTTTCATTGTATCTATTAAGTAATAAACTCTTAACCATTACTTATTTCTATCTATTTATAATTTATGTCGTTTATGAACACTTCCCAAACTTTAAACATTACTTTCGATTTTCATCAGAATTTTTTCATAGCGATGCCATCTTTGACGAATTTTATCGTGGCAATTACTAACAATTATTTCATGGTTTTTAGCAATGTATGAATACTCGCTTGTACTATCACTCCCATTTCCCCTTCTCTTGTCGAGCTACTATCTCAAACTACTTTTTTCTTATTTTTAAATAAATTTTGATAGACATTGAAGATTAGATTCAAATAACTAATTTTACCTCGGGCGCTTGAGAGGTGTTAAAATTATAAAGACTTTTGATCAAACTTACTTTTTATTTTCGTATTTCGTAAAATCTATAAGTACCATCCAATTATTCACTACTCGTTTCTATTTGTTTATAATTTAAAACACATTATAAACATCGCGCGCGCAGGCTTATTGAGGCCTAGTTGACTCGAGCACAGCTAAAAAGAAAAGAAATACCTTCATACAGTGCTATCCGAGTTGACTCAGTCATAGAATCACCCTTTAAACATATACTTATTTTACATATACTAGTGAGAAGCACATACCTTGCACGTGTCATAATGTAGTTGACTATGTGATAGCACAAGTATTAAAAAAAAAAATTATGTCAAACATTAGTTACATAAAATTATCTTATAAGTTGCTAAATGTTTTGAGGCAACATTAAATGTGGAGATGAAAAAAATTACACCAACAGTTATTGAAGAAATCGAGTCTCACCTTCCACCACAACCTCCGGTTATTGAAAAATGTCTCTTACGAATCTTCGACAGAACAGTCATTGCAAATTAT